ATTTTTTGGTTGCAGCCATCATTGTTGTTTGGCGGGCCCGAGCTGGGGATTCGAACCCACCACCTTAGGTGTATGTGGCTAGCGCCTTAGCCGCTTGAGCCACAGGCGCCGAGCCACCATGCCTGATTCAAAGCAACATTATTAAGGGCAAAACTCCCCGACTCCCTGGCACCAAGGCATATTTGTATTTTTTAAGAGATGGGATCTTCTTTTGTTGCCCAGGCTATAAGTGCAGTGGGATTATAGCCCAGTTTAACCTGAAACTCCTAGGCTCAAGTAATCCTCCTGCCTCAGCCTCCCGAGCCTGGATCTACACACATGTACCACCCATGCCCAGGTAATTTTTTAATTTTTTATAGGGACAAGGTCTTGTTACGTTGCCTAGGCTCATCACAAACTCTCAATTCGCCCTCCCAAAATTTTTGGATTACAGGGATGAGCCACCATGCTTAGTCCCAAGGGTTATTCTTAGCCAAATATATTGCATCTTTTAGCCCAATTATAATCTGAAAGGTAGTCACTCAATCAGTCCCTGAACCTGTACGAGAAAATTGGTTCCTTTCGCTACTTCACTGACGACAATCATGGACATTTAACCTTAAATTCAATATGAAGCTAAGCGATATTAATCCTTTCACCCACAGACTACTACTGGACTTAGAAGATTGCTACATGAGCCAAGTTCTCTTAAAAAACAACAACAACAACAATAAAAACAAACAAACAAACAAAAAACAGGGCCTGGCATGGTGGCTCATGCCTGTAATCCTAGCACTCTGGGAGGCTGAGGCAGGTAGACTGCCTGAACTCACAGGTTCGAGACCAACTAAGCCAGACTGAGGCACCATCTCTAAAAATACCTAGGTGTTGTGGCCGGCGACTATAGTCCCATCTACTTGGGAGGCCGAGGCAAGAGAATCACTTAAGCGCAAGAGTTTGAGGTTGCTGTGAGCTATGATGCCACAGCACCCTATCAAGGGGGAGAAAGTAAAACTCTGTCTCCAAAAAAAAGCCAAAAAAAAAAAAAAACCCAGGGAAATAAAGGCCACTCTTGGAAGTACTTTTCAGCACAGAAAGAACAATGATTATGATGAACATGGAAATATGCCAAGAGATTCCTGAAATCAGACGTAGAGCACAGTAAAACTCCTGGTATTCCTAGGCCTATTATCCATCTGTATCCCAAAGAGAATGGTAAATGACAGGCAGTACAGGATGAGCCATGCCAGTAACCAGCTGGAACTTGACTCTGCTGAAGTGGACTATAGCATCTGCTACTTAAAACACAGGCAGCCTCTCTGGCAGCTGCTGCTGGTAAAAGGGAATGAGCCATTGTGTTATTAGTAGAAGAAACTCACAGCCCTATTACCAGAAATGTCCAGATGTTGCTAAGAGCTACAGACATGTCAAAGACAAAGACCAAAATCTACAGTAAAGGAAGCACAAGCTATCACTTGTGCCAATCCAGGACCATTACCAAACATCTAGCCTTTATTAACATTTACATATGGAAATAGGTATTCCCTGCTGTAGCTGATGTAATTACAGAGAAATCAATTTATATTGCATCTGCTGGGATCAGCTGAAAGCACAGGGTGAGCAAAGCACAGAGCAGATAATCAAGAGCCAATGAACAACTCATCACTAGGCAAGCCACTTTGTAAGAAATTATAAGCTACTGAAGTTTAAAGCAGCCTGAGCTGACTCCAGACTCACATCTACTCAGCTCTAGCACTTGCAAGCTCTATTTCCTGAAACATAAACTAAAATCATCTTCCCAAAGAAAGGACTCAGCTTTAACTCCTCCTGAGGATGTAGGCACCTGTCCTTCCAAGTTAAGCAGAAAGCAAGGTATCATTACATGGTTTGGCAGCGATTAAACCACCCTGAGACTTTTAAGTCCTAAAAAGCTGTGGAAGACACTGGCAAAGAGTTACATCTTTTAGTGGCCAAAGAACTTCATTCTAAGCCAAACTTTCATAGCTACAACACTAACTCATAAGGTCTGATTAAGTACTTCATGGTACAATCAGTACCTTCTGCACTCAAACTGTGCCTCTTTGCTCTTTGGTAGTTATCAACAGAACACTTGGTAGATAAGCCATGAGACATAAATAACCCTTTGGTCTTTTTTTTTTTTTTTTTTTTGAGACAGAGCCTCAAGCTAACACCTCTGGGTAGAGCACTGTGGCATCACAACTCACAGCAACCTCCAACTCCTGGGCTCAAGCAATTCTCCTCCTTCCGCCTCCCAAGTAGCTGGGACTACAGGCGCCTGCCACAATGCCCAGCTATTTTTTCGTTGTATCTGTCGTTGTTTGGTGGGCCTGGGCTGGATTCAAACCCACCAGCTCAGGTGTATGTGGCTGGCACCTCAGCGGCTTCAGCCACAGGCACTGAGCCCCTTTGGTCTTTTTAGAGACCCAACAATACCATTTACCTCATCAAGAACTCTATTCAACCTATACATATAACCATAAGCTTTGTAGTAAGCTTATTAAGTTTATCATCTGTTATGACTATGATGATGAAATGACCAAGCTGAGAACCAAATACAGGTCTAGTAAGTTTGATAACAGCTTCTAGCAACATGTGTCTATGGTAGAACAAGGAGAAGAGGAGAAGGTCTCAACTCAGACTATAGAAAATTCATTCTACCAGGTAGCTGTCCCCAACAACAGATATCCTGCTCCAAAATGTCCACGCCTGTTGAAAATTAGTCTGTAGGGAATCCTCTAATTTGGAACAAAACCACATTATCATTACCAGCTGCTCTGACCTTGTAATTGGTCATTAACCACAAACTAATGAGCTTCCCACAGAGTACACAAAGCATTTGGCAGTTAGTCCAGGGCAGTTCTGACTGGCAGCGGGCAGCCAGATCTGGCCACCTCTTACCTTTTCAGACTTGACTTTCTTTAGTGGACGACACTCATTCTCCCCTTCCTCTGGCTCCGGTTTAACTCCCAAAGGATTGAGCGCTGCCCCAGGCTCAATAGCTATACTCCCAAGTGGCTCCACAGCTCCTGTATCCACCCCTGTACTTCCATCATACTGACCAACCCGTCCTCCTAAGGGAACTGGCTGGAGGACCCCAGGATCCTTTTCTGAACAAGTCCCCACTCCTTCGCTTCTCTCCTTCTTGCTCTTTGATGAGCTGTTCTCCTTCTCCTTTTTTGAGCCAGCTACACTGCGGGATGCCTTAGCCGCCTTCTCTGAGCCCTTGGAAGCAATAGCAGCAACCAGGCCTCCTGCATTGGCACCATCTCCTGCACGCCCCTGCATCTCCTTCTTGCTAGCTGCCCCCTCACTTGGAGTGAACAGGGAAGTCCCTGGAGTGGGTTTGCTAGTGTCTTTGCCACTCTTATTCCTTTTGGATTTTGATTTGCCTTCCTTCCCTTGAGGACCTGGCACTGGGGTCACAAACTTGATGTTGTCTGGTAGTGTGGCCACAGCATTGGGAGCCGGTATCCCCACCTCCTTTGAGCCTGACATTTCCAGTTTCTGCTGGTCCTTTTCCAGATCGGCGTCCAGGTCAATGATGAGATTCCCTACTCCAATGTCCCATTCATCCCCACTGTCGTATGTCTCAACCGGGTTTGCATCCACTCCTTTCCCTCCGGAGGCTCCACTGCTCAAGGACATCTTAGAGTCAACGTCCCAGCTCAAGATTCAAGGCTCTTCCTTGCCCCCAGTTTTCCTATTTTCAGCTTCAGCTATGTTCTCAGACCTGCCACATTGGTCAGTATATGCCCAGTGGACAACATCATTGCTGGAAAAAGAAAATGTGAAGAACTGTTAAAAGAAACAGTACAGGCAAGGAGACAGACTGAAATAAACTCCCACACAAAACAGACCCTTCCTATGCGACTATCACATCACAATGGACAAGACAAACAGGTACAACTGTATTTCTAACCAAGTCACATTGGACCTAGGGAAAAGTTAATTCCCACTTCATCTCCTCGGGGGAGAACACAGTATTTCCAAATACCTGGAGATTTTGTGGTAAGTTTTAACTAAGAGTCCCCTAGAGATAGTTTCCCATTCTTGAAAAACTTATTTCTATTAAACTCCCAGTTGGTAATCTTCCCTCAGTCAGTACAGCACAACTGTATATCCTGGCATATCACAGATTTCAACTCTAGCACAACTTTGTTCAAATACCCTTTCTTCTTGCTATTTCTTTTAAATTATTAGAGACTCAGAACATCATCTAGGCAAAAGCTTCAAATGCCCGCTACTAACAGGGCATGCCCCTACTAAAAATAGTATAGATTCTTAGTCATTCTACTATTGGGGAGGAAAAGTCTTATGGCTAAAGAGAAGAGCAAGCAGAACTGGGAAAAATGTAACTTCAGGACAGAGGCAAAGACTGCAACTGGAGGAGACAATTCTCAGAGAGGACTCAACCAATCAGCTTATGTTCAGAGAAGTTAAATCAGCCTTATCAAATTCCAGGTTTCAAATTATGTCTGAGTAGTAGGCTTCAATACAGCCTTTCTGGCTTCCCACTAAAATACTTACAAAAACATAGAAAAGGAGGAGAAGGTTTATCCTACCAAAAACTAGATACTACTAAAAAAAAATCTAACACCACGATGTTGGATAACTCTTCACTTTCTCATATAAGGTTGATGGTACTCTATTAACAAATACCAAAGCCTTACACTTCACGAGTCAGAGATTGGAGGGGGGCGGTATTAAAAGGGCAATTTACATTTCTCCACTGACTCCTGACTCATGAGAGCTGGGAAGATAAACCATCTAGAAAACCTCGCAGCCAATATATATCATCTAGGTTTTATTTTATGGTAAACCCAAAGAGTTTTGTTTTTGCTTACTTCTTTGTCTACCATCTTTCTATAGCCATTAAAAAAATAATTGTTGCGAGCGGCACCTGTGGCTCAGTGAGTAGGGCGCCAGCCCCATATTCCGAGGTGGCAGGTTCAAACTCAGCCCCGGCCAAATTGCAACAAAAAAATAGTTGGGCGTTGTGATAGAGGCCTGTAGTCCCAGCTACTCTGGAGGCTGAGGCAAGAGAATCTCCTAAGCCCAAGAGCTGGAGGTTGCTGTGAACTGTGATGCCACAGCACTCTACCGAGGGCAACAAAGTAAGACTCTGTCTCTAAAAAAAATAATAATAGCTGGGCGGCGCCTGTGGCTCGGTGGATAGGGCACCGGCCCCATATACCAAGGGTCGGGGGTTCAAACCTGGCC